TATGCAGATATTTTTCTTTGACATATTATTTGCTTATCTGTTTTGCCTCTTATCTTGCCCCATGCTTCTCTAATTACCTCAGGTTTTTTTTCTTTCCTAGATATAACTTGGAGAAAACATTCTTGTCTAGTTTCCTCTGGCCAGGACCAATTATTCCTACATATGACGGTGAATATTAATGATTTCCCATTCTTCCTCCTTTAGTGAACATACATCTAGAGATAATGACACAAAGAAATAATCTGAATCCTTCCTTGGTTTACTGGACCCCCACAGATCTCTATTTTCTTTTTTTAATTAAATATTTTTAGTTATAGATGGATGCAGTATCTTTATTTTGTTTATTCATTTTTATGTGGTGCTGAGGATTGAACCCAGTGCCTCACATGTGCAAGGCAAGCTCTCTGCCACTGAGCCACAACCCCAGCCCCCAGATCTCTATTTTCATTCATTCATTCAGCACTGTCCTTAGTCAATATTTTTGTTTGTTTGTTTTTTAATAGGAAAAGTTTATTACTGCAAAGTTTATTACATGCTTAAGGCATGGAAGTCAATGATTTTGATGATCATCCAGAAGGCACATTATTATTTTTACAGGTAATTTTAGCTTCAAGAGGTACTGAAAATGCACTGAGTTAATAGAATCAGAAACCAAAAGATTTCAATGGGTTGGAAAGATAGATAAAATAAAACAGAACAAGTAATGAGTCAGTGAGTATAAGGATCTGCAGTGATCACCTAGCGCTGTGTTTGTAGAAATAAATGCCCAATCTCTGGTGAAAAGGCTTCAGGGGGCTTAACCAGGAGGAAGTTCCAATCAGAGCCCCAGGTGCGGAGATGCTGAAAGAAGAGGCTCCTTTGATCTCAGATCATAGTGACAGAAGTACAGTAGTTGCATCAGAGCCTCTGCAGGTAGGATGAGGAGCAGATCAAACCAGGAGTCCAGAGCTGGGGCATAACCCTCAGAAAATAGACAGAACCCTGAATAAATCAAAAGATCCTATAAACAGCAGCAGCACCAATATAGGCAAGGGAAATAGCAGAGCGAAACAGACAGGAGCCCCTGCAGCAGGAACCAGAGGCGTGAGGATTCCTGTGGCCCTTGAGCAGCAGCAGCAGATGGAGGTGCTGCTCCTGGGCTCTGTGGCTCTGGCCCCATCTCTCAGAGGAGGCTTCCCCTGTGCTTCCAGCCCTCTCACTGCTCTTTCCATCTGAACTACTCTTCCTTCCTTGCTCCCCTCTGGGTCTTCCTGCATGCTTTTCTCTCTGCCTGGAAAAAAAAAAATATATCTTTCGGAGAAGGGAAATAATATGAAGCATATTCAGTCCTAAGGATCTCACCTGTAGAGAGGCTGACAAGCTGGAACCTTCAAAGGGAAGCTGGAAGGAGTTTCTAGAACATTCCATATGATGAGTGACCAAAGGGTCATGAATGAGAAGCCTGGAAAGAATATGCCAGGACACAGGAGATGTTTCTGAGTGTCCAGTAAATTATCATGTGACAATATCAGAGCACTGAGGAGGATATAGAGCATGGTTACAGTACATGCCTCTAGTCCCACTTATCTAAGGTGGAAGGACCACTTGAGACTGGCCAGGAGTTCAAGACCAACCTGGGCAACATAGCAAGACCCCATCTCAGACAAAACATAAGATTTAAAGGAACTGACTCAGTAAATGATTTTTTTTTGGGAGGGGGGTGGTACCAGGGATCTAACTGAGAGGTGCTTTACCACTGAGCTATGTCCCCAACCCTCTTTTATTTATGTATTCATTTTTAAATTTTGAGATAGGGTCTCAATAAGTTGCTGAGGACTCCTCTAGTCTCAGGATTCCCAAGTCACTGGGATTACAGGTGTGTCCCACTGCACTCAGCCCTTGAGTCTTTTGAAAACCCGTGCCAGATGTTTAAGTTCTTTGAAATAGGAACATGTTCAGCCAAAGTGGTAGGATAACATAAGCAAGACTTTTGTGCCAGTGGGCTGACCAACCTCTGATTGATAAAACTTAAATGTGCTTGTCTGGTATGAGTTCAGCAGATCCGAGGAGGTGTGCTTCTTAAACTAAGGAGGCTAAATTGTCCAGAAGATATGTAATGTGAGGGGTTTTCAATAACACAGAAGGATTTAATAAGATCTTTTGGTTTTTATTAGTCCTCCTTACACATTTGCACTATGCACTGTTGTAGCCACACAGTATATTTTTGCTTTGGCATCCAGCTACCAAACCTGTGTGGGGATGAAATTCCCGACTGAGCCTCAGCTTCTGCAAGCTGAGCTGCTCTATGGTTGGTGTGTTGTAGAAAGTCAGGCCTGGGCTCCCTTCTGTCTCTGACACAGATGCTCCACCACTTCTACTCGGTCTACAATATTAAAGCTGTTGGCTGTACCAACAGTGTGCTCCTGAATAGGGGCGAGAAAGAAAGCTCAAGAGAATGTTTGTAGCTGATAACAAGAGAGAGTGTCTGGTTTTGCTAACCAAACAGAAGATGAAATGTTCTTTTGTATGTGAGCAGGAAGCAAACAGATAGTCTACTTCAATAGCTTTTTATATCCACCAGGCGTGTTGAATTTGATCTTTTCCATCAGTATTATCTATACAACCTCTTTCATGAGTGATTTAGTTAGAAGAGTCCTGTGACCCATTATTCAAAGGTATTATCTCTTTCAGGGATTGGATTGAGAGCTATACCCCACATCGAAGTGAAAATGAAATGACAAACAAAACCTTGTAACAATTTGTGCCATTTTTTAGTTCTTTATAGAAGGCTAGTAAAATTCACAAAAGAAGTAGTGGTGAAGAAATTGCTGACTATAATTAAAAGCCTTCAGCTTTTCAAAAGAATAATTGGCGAATTTGTGAAGGCCCATACCTTCTGCAGCATGATTTTCACATAATCCTAAATTAGATTTGACTATGACTTTATTAGGGTTAAATAATTAAGCAATGCATTAGCATTGTTGATGACTACATTAGATTATAAAGATCAGTTGATCTGTTTATCAAATAGCTGTCTGGCTACACCAACTCAAGTGGATTCATTTCTGGCAGCAGGTTTGGGAAATGTCTGTGTTTAAAAAAACCAAAATAGCATTTGAAAAAAAGAAAAGAAACATTAAATAAAACCTTTGTGGGTTGTATTATGAGCCCTTTTCCTCCACAGTCAGCTGTGTCTTGCCTGAGAAGCCCTCTTTGATTTTCCCCTGCACAAGGTCATACCTTTTCTCATACCCATGGTGGACTCCATGCCCCTCCAGCACTGTGAGCTGGGCACTGCACCGCTTCTTCATCTGACGGATTCCTCCCTAGATTCCAAGCCCCTTAGACAGCAATGAGTGATTCAAGGACATCTCAGCATTGGATTGTTCTTGGCTCTAACAATACCTGGTTTCTGCAGGGTGCTACAGAAGAGCAATGCTGTCAGCTTTTCCTTGGAAAGAGGGTGTGGGAGTGACAAGTGGTATGAAGTGAGGCAGAAGGACATCTTGGCTCTGTGGGTGTGTCCCAGACTGTGGGAGCTGGGAACCAGGTGGAAGAAGGCTCAGCTGCCAGACATTCTATGGATAATTAAGTAGTTTCAGAGCAACCAGGTGTGCTGATGGCAGAGAAAGGAGGGCAGGAGCAGTAATGAGGGTCAATGGAAAAACAAACCAAAAAATTGCGAAGAATGCCGAAGCCAAAGGGGAGCACTGGCTCCCTAGCGGGAATCTAGGCATGGTGCCTCAGGTGCTGCTGCTCCAGATGCCTGGTCAAGCATTGCCTATGTGGAGCTGCAGGTGGCCACGCCTCTCCTTGCCCAGAGATGTGGCAAGTTCAAGTTGCCCAATCTTCCCAGGTGGGGAGGTAGTCCAGTCCTTCAGGAAGAGTCACTAGCTCCGTTCAGGAGACATCACAGTTCCTTTTATCATGGCCATCAAGTAGGTTCCAATAGAACTATGTTTTAAACCTGCAGTATTTACAAGGACAAGACCGGGCTGCTCCGTGGTGCTTGGGACGACTTCAGCCTTTGAGCTAATGGAGACATAATTGAGTAACAACGTGAAATTAGTGTCATCGCAAATGATCTAGTGCCTCAAGTTAATTTCACCCGGTTGTGTTCCAAGAGCAGCAGACTCACTCATCTTGCTAGCAGGCTGCCACCAGAAAGATTTCTTTTTGAGCATTTAGGAAATAAAGTTCACGTATTCGGCCCTTACATGTTGAAGGAGCAGTTTCACGCCTCAGCCTTTTAAAGGTATCTTGTTATTCCCTGTTTTGCTTCTAGGAAGCAGAGGGTTGCGGAAATGACTTGGGCGGGTGCATCAGTGTAGCCGAAAAAGACACAGACGACTTCCCTGGGGACCTGAGCCCGCCCGCAGTCTTCCCGAAGGTGCCAGGCAAGCGTCCGGTTCTCTCGGATGCTCCTGGTCTACAGCCCTGTGCAGAGGGTCTCTGGCGCCTTCCTAGACGTCTTGTGACAGTCTGGCTGGGTCAGGGTCGGCGGGACAGTGCAAGCTAGGGGAGTGGGCCCGACTGAGCCTCTCTCCTCGTGCCAAGTACACCGTCGCGGAGGCGCGGTCAGCTTCCCTTGAAACTGACTTCCCGCCCCGGGGGCCTGGCAGTGGAGCTCCAGCCCCATCTCCTCCCCAGTTTCGGGCGGCCCCCAGAGCTGAGTAAACCGGGTGGAGGGAGCCGGTAAGGATTTCCTGAGCGCTATGGGCAGAAGGAGGGGCGGGGGCAGGAGTGCTTGGAGCAAGGACCCTGAACCTGCCAGCGCCGCGCTCCCGGGTCCGCACAGCCAGCGCCTCCCCACGCGCTCTCCGCCCGGGGCCACCCACCCTCGGCGGCCCCCGCCCCTCTTCCGAGCTGTAGGGAAGCGAGCTCGGGAGGAAGAAGAGGGTAGGTGGGGAGGCGGATGAGGGGTGGGGGACCCCTTGACGTCACTGGAAGGAGGTGCCGGGGTAGGAAGTGGGCTGGGGAAAGGTTATAAATCGCCCCCGCCCTTGGCTCTGCTTAATCGAGGTCCGCAGGAGGCTCGGAGCGCGCCAGGCGGACACTCCTCGCGGCTCCTCCCTGGCGGCAGCGGCGGCGGCGGCTCGGAGCGGGCTCCGGGGCTCGAGCGCAGCGGCCGACAGGCGCCGGACAGCGAGGATTACCCGAGAAGTGGTTGTCTCCTGGCGGGAGCCGCGGAGAGGGGCTCTCGTGGAGCAAGGCAGGAGCGCCGGGCCGGCAGCCGCGGAGCACCAGAGGAGGACCCGCTCAGGCGGTCGGGTCGTCGGCCGCGGGGAGCGCCGGCACAGGGCGAACAGGCCGCGTCGCGCTCACCATGGTCAGCTGCTGGGACACCGGGGTCCTGCTGTGCGCGCTGCTTGGCTGTCTGCTTCTAACAGGTGAGGCACGATGGGGCCCTGGAGCCGAGCGGGGCTGGGATGCTGCGGCCACGGGGCAGAGACCATGGGGCCGGGGCCAGGTGCACGCGGGGAGGCGAGGCTGCAGCCAGGAGAAGCGAAACTCAGAGGGAACCTGGGGTACTAGTTGCAGCGGGAACTCCTGGGGCCACGGCGCCCCAGTAGCTGGCGGGGGACTAGCGGGCATCACCGCCCACACCCGCGTGGCGCCGCGCTCTGGTCTGTGCCGGGGCTGCCGGATTGCGGGAGGAGTCGCTTGATCCCCTGCCCGGCTCCTTACTGGGGTCCCCGCTCCCCGCATCGAAACTCTGGGCACCGGAAGCATCACACACCGGACCTGCTTGGCACCCAGAGCCTGCTCCCAAACCGCCAAGAGCGGGTCCGCAGGGTCCATCGAAGTTGGAAAGAGCGGCTCCTGAGCGCTGGTGAGCCTGCCCAGGGCTGTGCTGAGGCTGGGGAGTTGGCGATATTGGGCACTGGCCATGACCTTGCGCCGCCAGACCTACAGAGAAGAACCAATTTGGAGAGGGTCGCGTGCCTCCGGGGAACAGACAAATCACAAGAGAGGGCCAGCTTGTTATTTCTGGACCCACTTGGGGCCCTCGAGCCAGACTATCCTAGGAACATTCGGCAGCGCCTATTCCTCCCTGACGCTCGCTGTGCGCAGCCATCGGGTGGGGCCTCTGCCGGTAGCTGGCGGGCTGCGCGGTCCAGCCCAGGTCGTGGACTGCGTGATCCTAACCAACCAAGGCCCAAAGTACCATTAAATTTTGGAATTGTAAGCTTGTCCTTTAAATTACGAGCCAAGAAAGGGCGGACAATTTGGACCAAAAGATGCTGTTTGGGGAATCGTTGAGGTCTGCACCGTTACTTAAGTCAGCTTCGCCGGTCCTTTGGAAAACAGGCGCTGAAATGGTCAAGGGCCAGATTTTTAAGAACAATTAGTGTGGAGACCGCCGCCCTTAAGGGGTCAAAGCTTGAGGGGACTTAGGGACTCGTCTTTTCTGCTCAGTGGGGTTAAGTGATCCAGAATCCTTTGGTTCCCTCTCCTTGCGCGCAAAGGGCCAGATTTTGGAGCGCCTTTCTTTTAAGCATCATGGGAAAAAGGTACAGTACCACGAAACAAGTCATTGTAATGATTCCCTGGAAGGAAAGTCAGAAAGATTAAACTTCTTTTTTTTTTCTTTTTTCTTTTTTAACTTGCAAAACCCAAAAAGCAGTAACAAATATTCTCAGCGGGAAGACTAATTAGATAGTTTTACCGATCTAATTGCAACTATTTAGAAGCTAAGAAACCCAGAGGAAAGGCGAAGTCCTATTGTGTGGGAACTCCCTACAAGCTGGGAAAGGTACTAAAATAACTATATTAAATGAAAGATTGCATTTTCTACTTCGCAAATATAGTTTTTTTAAATTTGAAAAGTTGCTTATATTAAAATATAATTGCTCAGAGAACTTAACATTCTCAGTCTCATAGGTAAATGTAAATCTAGGTAAATTCTCTTAACCCAAAAATACAAGATAAAACGGAACACCTTATTGGATTTTCTGCTTCATACACATTTATTTCTTCAAAATTGTGGTGGACTTTAATGAAGCATAGTTCTGTTTGCATTTAGAAGCATCTTAGATTGGTGGAAGCTTTACAAGAAATGTTAGTAGGATCGTCTTGTCGTTTAGATTATAATTTATTTGAATGGACACGAATCTTGGAAATCTTTCTGATTTTTTTTTTCACATTTTTGAGAAGAAAGGGAGACAAACTGACAGTGTGAACCTCCTTACCTGATTGCTTCGGGAGTATTCTGTTAGCAAGCAGGTTTGTCACTGTAAAATGCGCCTTTGAAAACTGCAGCTTCTCTGGCTGAATTAGAAACATCTCAGTAAAATAATCAGCTACCTGCTTTCTAAATAAGACTTTCCAATCTAACAGGAAGCTCTCTCTGGCCAGAAAGAGGCCCCCTATTTCTGCCTGTGGATTCATCCCGAGTCACCCTTACCCATGTGAGCTCCAGTCTGTGACCCTTTGGGTGCTATATTTAAATATGTATCAGTTATCAATATTGTGTGTGCATGCATGGCATGTAAAATAACTAGAGGTTTATTAATACAAATAGGTAATGCATCTCCCTCCTAAAATTTACGGGGGTTTTTGTTTTCTTTTTGTGGTACTGGGGATTGAACCCAGGACCTCGCATTTTGCCTGTACCACTGAGCTACCTCCCTTAGCCCAATGCATCTGTCTCCTAAAGTGTGCAGTTACCCTCCAGATACCTAGAGAATAAAGAGACACTCATAATTCAGATACTTTCAGGTCCTCAGTATTGTGATCACTTTCTCCATAAAGGAAATCAGTCATCTTTCTCTAGAGGTGTCTCATTTTCTTACTTTTAAGGCACCACACCCTCGATTAAAGTCACAGATTCTTTAGGTTTTTGTCCTCCACCCCCTGTTTTTCTTGAGTTCATTAGCAGCTGACATTTACAATTTACCATAACTAATTGGAAACACTTAAACTGAATTTTGTGAGGCAATTCCACAGTAATAACATTAGGTTGAAATTACACGAAAATAATACCTATTTCTAAGTTGAATATGATACATCTCTCATACTAGCTTATTTTATGTGGTAATTTTTGTTGTTTTCTCTGAGGCTTATAAAGTCATACTTTTTTCCAAAATTGCATCTTTGACATGTTAATTATTTAGGACCTTAGGCAGTCCCCATCTTTTTTTTTTTTTTTGCCAATTCATAGATTGTTTTACAGATAAACTGTAGGTCACTGCCTACTCTAGTTCCTCGAATATTTTTACTTTTCTTTTGAGTTTAGCACTTTGTTACATTTTTTTTTAATTTTCCTGTTGAAAATTCTATAATGGACTAAGTAGTTTCTTTTCTAATGATCACCAAGTAGATTTTGTTTTGTTTTTATACATAAACTGCAGAAATTCGAATAAATGGTCAATTTCTAAGGTTCCTTTTTGCATGAAACAGACTAAACCCTGAATCTCTTTTATCTCTTCCTACCTTCTTATATATAAAATGGAGAATAATCATCTGATGCTGTGGCTGTAGGGATAAACTGGGTTCTCCTTGCCATCAGCAATCACATTGTGGAATGTACCTGACTGACCAATTAACATGGTCTTTCCTGGGTAGCATTTTGCAGGAGATCGGCTGTCTGAAGATGTCTAACACAGTGGACCTAATGGTCTTGGGCTTTTTCACCAGTAGAATGTGTAAGTCTCTGACAGAGATACTCCTTTATAATAGTCACATTAAGTCTTATAAGGATACTTGTTATTTGAAGCCCCCAGGAATTTCTTGATAAAAAATTGACACTTTATTTGATCAAAATGGCTTTATTTACAAAGAATTCCAGGTTTCAACAGAGCTACTAAGCCCTTTGTTTAAAAATGGAACCTATTTCATTTGACTTTTATAAAGCAAGCCAAATAATTGCTTTTTCTCCCCAAAACTATGTAAACCTTTTTAAAAATCTGCTCTGAGTGAATGTAATATATAAGTTGAAAGCAGTATGACACCAAAGGAAAAAAGAAATGGTTTTATATCAACCAAAAAAAAGACGTAGTACCCTTCAGGAAGATTATACAACACATTGCTTCTACACAGCAAACTTATGGCTGATGGTTACTGTGGCTTGGGCAGTTTGGCAAGGTGAGAACAAATAACAGAGTAGATTTTGCCCTGGCTTTAAATTGACATGTGTGAGTGTGCTTAAGTGAGACCTCAGCCTGGAAACTTAGTGAGATCCTAAAATAAAAATAACAGGATTAGGGATGTAGCTCAGAGGATGTTCGCCCCTTGGTTCAATCTCCAGTACAAAAAAATTCTTTTAAATGCCCGGGGCTGGGGGGTGGGGACTGTGGAAGAAGTTGGGGGATGGAGAAAGTGAGGGAAGTCTCTTGGCCCAGGGGTGTTAAATGCAAAGCCTGCTGATAATAGAAAACAGTGTCAGGTTCTTGGTTCAGGGTATGTTGGTAATATCAAGTAAATATCACTTTTCAGTGTAGCTGCCATTGTCGATAGTAGAGGGAGTTTGAAATCACAAACAGTAAAAATATTATGGTGAGTGGCTAAAAAGTGTAAAAAACATCTGTTGCACTGGTTTTAAACAATTTGATAGATCAGTCCATCCTGTTCTGTTGGTTTTACTCTGGTAGAGGCTTGTAGAATGAGACCTCCTGCCAAATGCTTTCCAGGATCATGGTTGAGTCCTCACACATTTGGGTGCCTAGGAAATTGCATGCTGCTGATTAAATTACTGGATTTCATACCAGACTGAGGAAAGGGAAGGAAATGGGAGGAATGGGGTATTTGAGGGAGGGCTTGAAAGGAAAGCTTCTTGTTCAGTGCATGGGGCTGCAGGGGGGTTTCATTAAGGAAATGGTTCCATTGAGTCTACTGAAGATAGTGGACTAGATTTCCTGCATTGCTATTGGGGCGGATATAGGGAGATGTCAAGAATTCCTGGGGATTTCCCATCAGCCTTAGTAAACCTGGATGCCTAAAAGCCATTTCTGATCGCTGCTCCTTTCCTTGATTTCAAGCTGCATGAGAGACTTGATCTTGTCTGTCAGACACATTCCACACTTGTGAGAGCCGGATGGAATCTCAAGATCCATCTGCTCATCTCAGAGACAAGAAACTGGCCCAAAGATGTTTAGTAATTTTATTCAAGGTCAATAGCTGGCTGGTGGCAGACCTAGGAAGAGAGCACAATGTTCATCCTACAGACATTTCTTTTTCATTTGTATTATATTCTCTATCCTAGAAAGAGTAAAGATGCACAAATACTCATCAAATAAAATTATTACAGTGCTAAAATTTCTTTCTAAATGATAGCATCTCTTTTATTTATTACTATTATTAATTTTCTTTTTTTTGTCACATTGGGGATCAAACTCGGGGACTCTTACATGCTAGGCAAGCACTATATCACTGAGGTACACCTCCAGCT